TTGTGCATTTGACAAACTATCTCCCCTAACTAAGACAATTACATTATTCTTAATTAATACTCCTTTCTGGAATGAAATTGCTTTGGATAGGGCTCACAGTATCTCATAGTAAGGGTCCGAAGGGACAAGCCTCATATATACCAGCACCTTATAAAGACAATTTAATAAATTAAACTACTCAGCATAATAAGACAAGAATCTTTAAAGGAGATAGGACTATCCTCTTTCGAAATCAAAACCATTAATTAATGACCTAGTGTTAGTATTAGGGTTTTGAGTAAGTCATAAGTCTTGCCGAGAGTTATCCTCATTATTTTTATCATCAATATTTTATGCTTTTCATTATTTATTAATAATTTATTCATTCTTACACAATAAAATATTTTTATGTTTTGTAATGATATAATATTATATATATATATATATTAATATCTTTCTATTTTGATAGGAAAATAATTTTTAAATGGTTAATTGATTATTTCCTCAAAATAATTATATTTCAAACAAAAAAATAAGATAAATAATATTTTATATATAATTATATTATAATTAAAATTCATAATAAATATTTATATTTAAATATATAAATTATATTTAATATTTACAAAGAGTAATTAAAATTCACAATGAACTGTGATATAAGTTTATTTTTAATTATTAACGATTTCTTTTTTAAAAAAATTATTGGAATTTATTTTATAGATAAAGGTAAAACCACTAGTAGAAAAATAGTCTTTTACGTCACTCTTTTCTCATCGGTCAAAATAAAAATTGACGTAAAAAAGACGCGGTGGCATTTTTGTAATTTTTTTGAACTTTTTTACTTCGGACTTAATAGGGTCCGACGTAAAATGTAAAATCTACGTCAGGTGCATCTAATATCCGACGTAAATTTTATATTTTACGTCAGACTTTATTATATCCGACGTAAAAAAGCTTTCTATATTAAAGTGTAGACACCTTTAAACGTGCTAAGCTATGGAAGAGAAGTGCAGGGGAATCCATGCTCTCTGCTGAAGCCTTCGAAAAGCTGGATCTGCGCCTTATCTTGTATGAGCTTTCTATATTTTAACATTGTTTTCTTCATAAGAGCATAGAAAAAAAAATAAGAGAAGTGCTAAGCTTTCTTCATACACACCAACATTGCAGATGGCAACAAGAGAAAGTTGGATCTGCGCCTTTTGGAGTTGCACTCTGCCTTTTGCTTGTGGCGCGGCTTTGGCTTCCACGACGATGGCGAGCCTATTATTCGGGCTTACGTTTGTGAGAACGATCACGTTTCCTTTTCCCATGTACACTTAATTGCAAGTTCCCTTTTTTATGTATTTTTCATTTCCTTTTCCCTGTCTACTTTCCATCTTCACTACTACTTGTTCTTTTCTTCATTTTTTTTTGAATATTATTATTTCAAATCTTCTGCGTTTCTTCTGCATCTGGAGCAGAACGGCCGGTTCTCCTTGCAGAACGGGCCGTACTGCTTGCATTTGTTATTTTTTTTTTATTTTTTTACTGCTTTTTTACGTCGGACCTGGTAATGTCTGACGTAAATCTATGTCGGTTTTACAATGTCGACGTAGATTTACGTCTCCCACATTAACGTCGGTATTTTTTACGACGTAAAAAGGTCAAAATGACCGACGTAAAAACCCTCTTTTGTACTAGTGAAGAAATATAATTTGAGAGAGAAGTTTTTAGTTAATTGCAAGGATAGTGTGTAAAATACGACTCCGAATGAGAAAAGAACAATATTGAGAAAATTTATCTGTGTCTCCAAGTTGTATGTTCTAATTTATAATATAAGAGTATATATTTTAGCTAGATTTAAAATAAATTAATTAAATTATGTATAAGATCATATATTTTAACTATTAATATTTTGAAAAAGTTATTGAAATTTAATTTAGAGGAAATAAAATAAATAATAGGAGAATAATTTGAGAAGGTTAAAAAGAAAAAAGAATCTAATTCTAATTGTAGTGTGTGAAATTTACAAGCAAAGAAGAGGAAAAGAAAATAAATATATATTGTCTGATTGATAGAGTGAAGAGGGTTAGGGTCTCACTCTCCAAATTTTGTATTACAATTTATATTATGAAAGTATATCAAGGAGCATACTCAAATATTCAATAAGAGAGTATTTTTATTATGAGAGATTACTAGAGTAAATCATAACTTATAAATTATAGATAAAAATAATTAATAAATAAGATTAAAATTTAATTATAAATACTTTCTTATAAAATTATTATTATTATTATTCACTTTACAACTATTAACATTATCATCACTTATCATCCAATTATCATTGTTATTATTGTTATCATTATTATAGTAGTGACAAACAATTATAGTAATGATAATAGTAATATTGATGTTGACAATTGAGAAATATATAATAATAATAATTTTGTAAAGTATTTATAATTGAGTTTTAATTTTATTTTTTAATTTTTTTTATTTATAATCTAAAGGGTGTGATTTGTTCCTCTCATCTCTCATAATAAAATATGCTTTCATTAAATATACTCTCATCTTTTACATTTCTTAAAATATTTAATCTTTCATAATAAAATATGCTCTCATTCGATATACTTCTTCCTAACTTTTACATTTCTTAAAATGTCTTCAATTGCTACTTATTTTTCAAAATGTCATGTTAATTCCTTGACTTATCTTTTATATATATATATATATATCTATATATATATATC